GTTGACTCTAATCTTCTTTGTACTAATTGTTTCCTATATATTATGTAATTGATATGTTGTTCTTAGTATAGGTTTCCTATTAAATATGTATTGTTATAAGCTTATATATATGTATATTTTACGAGAAGCGATAGGATGGTATTTCATTCAATATAATTAACAAATACAAGTATACAACGGGTGTCAATCAAGTACATAGATCTAATGGTCAAAAAAATTAAGGGTAAATTACATAGTACCCCTTCAGGTTTGAGGTTTATTACAACCTCATACAACATCTTTAAAATATTTCACTTTCATACATCACGTACTATTTTATTTCAAAATAATACATCTGTTAGATTTTCCATTCATTGTTCCGTTAAGAGCTGACGTGGCTAGCACATTTATGCCATGTGGTTGCCACATTTGTGCCACGTGGCAAAAAAAAAATTTTAAAATATATTTAAAAAAGGTATTTGAAAAAAAAAACCTAAAACCCATCTTCCCCGACCCACTTCTCCTCCACTCTCTTCACTTCTCATCCCTTCTCTCTCCCACTCCTTCCTCTTCACCTCCCCGCCACACCTGCCGCCTCCTCCTTTCTATCCCACCCTACCAAACCCACTATCCAATTCCCCCGCAACCCCCCCACCCCACAAATTTAGCAACCACACTGGTGGCTGAAACTGGTACTTTCAATTCGACTAACAACTCTAACTCCTCTCCGGCGTACAGATCTCTGAGTCAAATCGACTCGGATCCTAGAGCAGCGAGCCGACCCGTGAGTGAATACACATCGGTGATCTTAGCCGAGCTTGAACCCGAAACAACACCAAGTTGGAGACTAAGATCCTGGACAGATGAAATTGGCATCTCTAGGCTTCTTAGGCGATGAAATTGGTGGCGGTTTGTGTTGGATTTATGAAAAAAGAAGGTTTGTGTTGATTTTTTTATCTTTTTTTTTTAAGGAAATTATGAAAAGGGGATTGTGGAAAAAGATGCTTACTTTGGAGAGGCATAGGGTGGACTTGAGGAGGGAGAAGTTGGAGGGGGATTTTGGGGACGATGGGTTGGAGCGCTGGAAGTGGAAAAGCAGTCTAGGGTTGTTGGGGTTGCTGTGGAGGTGGGGGTGGGGGTGGGATGGGGTGGGTTTTTGGATGGGAGGAGAATTGAAGAGAGTGAACAAGAGGGCGATGCCCTGCCATCGTGGAGGAGAAGACGGAGTTCGATATGGATGAGAAGGTGGAGAGAGGGAGGGTGGGGTAATTGACTGGGAGTTGTTTGGCATTAGATCCAAATTTTTTAAGTTTTAATCTTTTGCAAAAATTTGAATTTTCTACATTTTTGTTCTTGGGTTCGGATTATGGAAAATTAGGGTTGGAATCTATTGAATTTTTTGAGTTATTTACTGTTTGGTTACCGAGAAAACGAGGAAAAATTGATGGGAAAGCTGGGTAATCTGTTTTAGAACAAATTTGAGTAATCTAGGTGGGGTGGGGGGTTGCGGGGGAGGTGGATGGGGGGTTTGGGTTGCGGGGAAGGGGAAGGGATCAGTTGGGGGAGGTGAAGAGAGTATAGGATAGGGGTGGGGGGTTGCGGGGAAGGGGAAGGGATGAGTTTCTAGGGATTTTTTTTAATAATTTTTAAATTTATAAAAAAAAAAAAAAAAAAAATTTGCCACGTGGCATCAATGTGGCAGCCACGTCAGCTCTTAACGGAACAATGGATGGAAAATCTAACCGAGGTATTATTTTGAAATAAAATAGTACGTGAGGTATGAAAGTGAAATGTTTTAAAGATGTTGTATGGGGTTGTAATAGACCTTAAACCTGAGGGGTACTATGTAATTTACCTAAAAATTAATCTATATATCTGTTTAGGCCAAAAATAGTGGTTTGGGGCTGAGTATAGAATCATTCTCGGCCCGGGAGGCCTTGCGACAAGGGTGTTATGGATCGTTCAGTACGTGGGCCTCTAAACCTAGGTCGGCTAGGTCATGACGTAAGACAGGCCGAGTCCTATAGCGATAAGGAGTCTCGGCAGGATTAATAACCCGAAAGCGAATCCGGTTCAATAAGGGACTAGGTTCACAGTCATAATAAGAGTAGGATTGGTCGAGTCAGTGTTTGATCAGGAGAGGAAATCCTAGTCCGAATAGGGTTTTAACCCGACCTTGGGGGATCCGTTGCTATAAATAGAAGAGGCTGTGCATCATTCAAGCCCCTACAATTCAACACAAAACTGCCCTGCGCAAGCTTTCTCAACAACTTTGAGATTTTTCTTTTCTTTTCTCGCTGACACATCTTCCGTTGGCATCAACAGCACTGTGGAAGCAACCGGTGATATCTTAAGTCAGCATAGATAGCTCTGTCATCGTAGAATCAGTCGGTCTCGCAGTATCTTCCGTTGGCATCAACAGCACTGCGACGAGGACGGTTGGTTACCTATCCAAGTCTCGGTCAAGAAGGATTTCCGGATCCTTATTGATTGAGATCATCTTATTAGCCTCCTCGGCGAAGTGAGGTGTTACAGTATATCGAGCTCGGCGCATTGCACGCCGAGTTATTTTATGATTGGATATTCCCAAATGGGATTTAGAGTTCGGCATTCGGACGGCCGAACCACGTTCACCATTAAAACTTATATTTGCTTTGAGTATTTGTGCCCTTACACTTTGGTGTCGATTCGGCGTGAGTTTACTCTGACGAATAACATCACTGTAACTGAATCCGACGACGACGACTCGTGAACTTCGTAAGAATAGTAACTTTGTCTTCAGGTTCGAGAACCCAAGAGGCCGAGACGCGTTCCTTCCTCGGTCGCAATCGCAAGACGCAGGAGTCAGCCGCGCACCCAACACAACATCAACAAATTTACTCCTCGGCCGAGCTCGACCGACGAGTTGGCACGCCCGCATTCACCGAATGACGTAGTTAGCTTATAGATTACTCGGCCTGCGCGCCACGTAGGCTTGGTAGTTTCGAGGGTCAACAATATCATATAGAAGGAGTTATATGTCTACACACTTTGTGATAAACCCGCACAATTGTTGTGTTCATATGTGGTATAACTATGCTATATAGGTCACATGTTCAAGTCGTGGAAACAACTTCTTTGCAAAGCCAATGTAAGGTTGTGTACGATAGACGTTTCTCCACCCCCTCTCTGACTCTCGCAAAGCAGAAAGTCTTGTTGGCTTAGAGTCATTCTTTTAACTGTTAGCTGATGAAATATGAACTTCACTAACATTAAGATCATCAAACTAACCCAAAGATAACATAAGTTCCTAATATTTATACCTATGTACGAGTTATATACATATATCGGTCTCAACCTATATGATCATCATTTACCACGTATGTCACTCTGATTGGTCATGGAAACAGTGAAACAAAATGCACAATATGTTTATGAATATTATACCTCGAATGAACTTGGAAAATGACATTCCTATTTGGCTGTGTTTTATTGATTAGTCAGAAGAATAAGAGTTCTTGAATAATTGAGTACGATCACCAAATCACCAATGATTTATATCCAATTTTGTTGTACATGTGTGTGATGTGTCGATCCCTCGTCGATGCATTGAACAATTGCTTTTTAGTAAAATGAATGATGAGAACTCATATTTTGATTATCGTCGTGATCTTAAGTGAGATTTTTAATTATCTATTTCTTTTAGCGTCAAAGCGTAACACTAACTTCACACAATTATCACTAAATTCTCATTAAGTCTCATCAAGCATCCTTTGAACTTACTGAAACAAGTGCTGTTATCTCGAAATTATTTGGTTTCCTTGTTTCAAAAAACTCATCATTGATCAAATCAATAATGAGTTTTGAAAATATAAATAACAGTTTCATTCTTATTTGAAAAATATGTAAATGATTAACACTTTAAAAAATGGAGTGGGAAAGAGACACTTGTCACTATGTTCATCACAATCAATCTTCAAATAATTGAAACCGGATCCTGTCCGAATCTATAGGATCTGAACCTAAGGATCACAAGATTCGGATCGTTGAAATTTAATTCAACAGCTACAATTATTATAATTTTTAAAATAGTACTTTGTTTATAACCGTTGAATCAAATTTTAACGTCTGAATCTCGTGATCCTTAAGCTCACTTCCTATAGATTCGGAGGGGATCCGGTTCCCAAATAATTATGTACGATCACCAAATGGTTTTGATCGAATTTTGTTGTACATGTGTGATGTGTCGATCCCCCATTGATGCATTGAACAATGCCTTTTTGTCGTTTAAAAAGTTATTATGTACTTATTGCAATACAACCGAAGTCAGAGAATTATCTTTTAACTTGTATAAATTATGAAGTATTTTTAACAGTTTTCAACTTATGCAAATACAAATAGCAACGCCCTTCTGTTGTTGCAAAATATCTTCAAGATTAACACTACAACAATCATGCCTTTTTACTGGATTAGGCTGCGTTTTTTTAATAAAAAGTTTAGGTGAAGGAGAGGGTATCCCATCTCATGATCAAAGTATACTACAGAGAGATCTTAGCTCATTCTTTGATTTTTGTGAGTTGTTTACTAATTTATCTGACTCGGAATAAAAACCAGTGTGATTACTATAATATCCTTATTCCAAAATCCTAAAGCGGTGGGTTTGGTGTGTGCAAACTTGAAATTTAAAAAATATTAAGAGAGCATAATAGGTAGAAAAAATGCATTCCCATTCCCTCTCTATTCCATAACTCAAATTCCACATCCATCTAAGGAGTTCGATTCCTCCATTTTGGGGAGTCGGATTCCTTAATTTGTGCTGGGCTTGCCACTCCTTTGATTCCTCCAAAATTAGTAAACGCTTGAATACTTTGTAATCGGAATTCAACTTCTTGTTTTGATTCCGATTACGGATATGTAAGCATACCCTTACTGAACTCCAGGTGCATTCTAGGTTCTAGGATTAATCAAAATTTATATTCACCAAATCAGTTGGTTGAGCACTCACAAATCACAATCATGGGATTTGTTCAAAACAAAAAAACAAAAAAATCACAATCATGGGATATTCATCATTCACACCAAACACAAACAGCCACTCATTACATTTCACAAGCAACAGCCACTTGTTACTACTTAGGTACTGACTAGTGGCCCAATAAGAACAAAACACATGTCACAACTTTAATTTAATAAACTTGTAACCAAACACAATGTTAACCTCACATCCAAACATCCCATTTCTCCCTCAAAGCCTCACTACTCCTTGCTTCTGCCATGGTATCAACGCCAGAAACCTTGTCCTCGGGAACCTCATCTTCTCCGTCGGCGCCACCCACATCTGACCTTTCTCTGCCAACTCTGCCCCCAAAATCCTCCTATTCTTTATCGTGGAAGCCGTGGCAACACCCCGTCGTCGTCGTCGGACTTCTCCGTAGTGGAATCTTTGGCAGTTCCGAACACCAACATTCTCCCAAATTTCACTGAATAATTTCAACCTGCTTCATAATTTTTTCTTACAGATGAAATTTCCTTCATAAGATTAGCAAGATGGATCAGATCTTTCATGGGTTTCGTGAAATTTGGGAGGGCGAAGCTGCCATGGCTTCGAGAGAAAGGAGAGAATGTGGTTGGTGGAGATGTGGCACCAGTGCTTGTAGTGAGAGAGAAGATGGATGTTTGGATACTAGTACAAGAGATGAAATGGTGTGTTTGGTAAGAAAGATAGTAAGAGGGTTTTATTTGATGTTTTAAATTTAGTGATCCTAATAGGATGGTCAACGACTACGGTATTTTTTTGGAAAAAAAAACAAACAAAAAAAGAAAACAATTACGGTACTTGTACTCAAGTATTATCCTTTCACAAGGCAAACTGATTAGGAATTGCTGCGATTCTTTCTGAATAGCCTAGAAGATGTCGAGAGTCACTTTGAAAGTATTACCTAAATTCTAACAAAAGCCTATAAAACAAAAAGCTACTATCATTTCTTCATCATGGATTAATTTTATATTTCAACGGCTGACAATGCTGCTGTGGCAAAACCGAATAGGACAGGACTTGTGTAGATTTGATTTACCTTTTTATGATTGGACATTGAATGTGTTTACTTTGTTTGCTTATATAACACCCTGCAAAATGTTGCAAGATCGTGTCTTTTTCTGCATTCTACTTGCATCGCCAAACTTCTGAGCCAAAGACGGGTTTGGAGTAGCTTTTGCGATCTGGGGTCTGGATTCTAAAAGGGATTCATCTTAACACGAAGACTTCGCAGACGGTCATCCATCATCTGATGCTAGTACTGCTCTCACCTAGATTCGTTTAACTTCGTAGTTCTGATAGAATCATGTGTGCGTAAGTTGGTATGATCACAACCTCATACTGAAGTTTGAACTTTGAGTGGTGAAGTAGAGAGAGTAATACGATTTTCTAGTTTTCAAAGGCGGATTCGGTACAAGAAAATGGTATCTGGTGGTCATATAGGGTTCTACAACAACAACAAAAAAGCTTTTTCCACTAAGTGAGATCGGTTATATGAATTCTAGAACATCATTGAGCTCGGTTCTGTGTCACGTATTTTGTTAGATCCAAATACTCTAAGTCTTTTCTTAGAGTCTCTACCAAAGTCTTCATAGGTGTTCCTCTACCCCTTCAGCCTTGAACCTTTATCCTGCAATCACATCTTATATCCGGAGCGTCAGTAGGCCTTTGTTTCACATGTCCAAACCACCGTAACCGATTTTCTCTCATCTTTCCTTCAATTTCGGCTACTCCTACTTTACCTCGGATATCCTCATTCCTCATCTTATCATTTCTCGTGTGGTGGTCATATAGGGTTCTAAGTAGCCAAAATCTTAGGGTTCTAAGTAGTTGATTATATCGGGGATGATTGATGCAGGCATGACAATGTCCTTCCACACACAAAACCGTCCACCTCTTCTTTCCGGACTTTTGACCAAAAATAGGACACAAAACAGAACCAAATCAAGCTCTTCTGTAGCTACAATGCATGTATCTTCAGTTCTGCAAACCAATGAGAGCGGAAATCTACCTGAATCGAAGAAAGTTCGGAATTCGGGCTTACCTCTAACAAGATGTCACGCACTGAGCCAACCAAACACTGTCGGCATCATTGGAGGGGTGTCTGTTTATTCAAGCCTCCTTTTCTTGGAGAAGCTTGTCTGGTGGAGTCTAAAAGATGGAGGAGAATGCCCGCCCTTCATCGTGTGCAGCGACCCAACATTGTATAAGGAGCTTCCGATTCGCAGTTTGTTTCATTCACACACAAGAAGTACTAGTAGTGCTCAAATCCTATCAAATAACTGGCCTATCATCGAGAGCTTGTGTAGCAAGAGGGCGTTACTCCAGCACTCTGGCGCTCAATGCATAGTCATGCCGTGTCATCTGTCTCATGCGTGGCACGACAAGATATCTGAGGACTGTTCTCTGCACTTCCTTCATATCGGTGAGTGTGTTGCCCTGGAGCTCAAGGAAGCAAAGTTGAAGCCACTGGAAAAAGGAAGTAATGTAAGGATTGGAGTGCTTGCTGCAGATGCAACTTTAATGGCTGGTTTTTACCAAGAAAAGCTACAAAGTCAGGTACACATTCAACCTAATTTCGTTTTTCTTGCTCATTCATCAAATTATGTGAAAACCATGAAGATACCAATTCTGATTTTCTTCGAAAACTTTACTTACATTTTAAGTCACCGGCGAAAACATATTTCGGTGCAATGGCAATGGACAGGGGTTTGATGTTGTGGTACCTGACAAGCAAACCATGGAGCATGTGGTGATTCCCGCAATTGAAGCGATAAAAAGACGGGACATGGAGGGGGCACGAAACCTGTTAAGCATTGCAGTCCAGGTCCTGCTGGTGAGGGCGGTGAACACCGTGATCATTGCTTCGGACGAGTTGCAGGTTGTTCTACCTCCGGGCGATCCTCTTCTTAAGAAATGTATCAACCCCATGGATGCTTTGGCTAGGTCGACAATAAAATGGGCAAAGGCTACAAGCAACGGTGGATAAGAGATCGTAGCAACATGGCTAAATAAAATGTACATAATCTTTGTGTCATTGCCATACTTCCCTTCGTTTCTGTAGATATTAGCAAATCTTTAAATCAACTGAACTGAAACTTCCTGTAAAATCAACTTCTGGTTTGAAACATGTACACAGATTTATGAGTTACAAGTAGACAACCAAAATGTCGTTGAACAAAAATTAAACAATAAACTTTTGTACTTTTACAACAATTGAATGATGTGAATCTCGAAGGGTATCCAAGCTTATTTCATACAAAAATAAATTCCAAAACAGAGCACAAAGCGGCCTCAGGAAGTCAAATTCATTTTGAAGAAACGGCAAATGCAGTTTAGTTAAAAATGCAACTACAAGCTAATTTCCTGTGTACCTTCCAACTCATCCTTGTCCACATTTATTTCCAGTGATTTTGCGTATGCAAAGAACCCAAACATCAACTGACCTGGCATGCTATTTGGTCCAACCGGAAACAAAACCAAAATTGGAACTCAATCAATCTATTGGAAACAAAGAAAGAAACCCATATGGTGTGTACAATTATCTGTAGTAAAACAGAATACAAACTTCGCAACATTCATACCAGGCCATGGCTGAGAGCTATGATAGACAACTTCTCCTACTTCAATACCAGTCTCTTCCCATGTTTCTCTCCTCACTGCTTCTTCTAAGCTTTCCCCTGGCCAAGGACGAGAAAAGGATCAAACTAATGAAACTGTTACACAACCCCCGAAAAGGAGTATAAATACTAATACCGACTATTATACACAGTTACCAGTGTCTGACATATTCCCTAGAGTTACCTCTATAAAACCAGCTAAGCAACTCCACATTCGAGGTACAAATCGAGATTGTCGACTTAATAGAGCACGGTTGTTCTCTCTATCAATGACTAACATTATGACAACCTGTTGAAATGACACAATATGAGCTATACAAGAGAAAAGCACCAACTTGAAATGCAAACTGATAAAGCATAATCATACCGGATCAACACGAGGGTAGACCCGCTTTCTGCACAGCCCACTCGAACATTGCTTCCGCCTCCCAGCTTCCTTGGGGACTGTTTTTTCTCCACAATGTCCACAAAATTGTGATATACTATGCCATTCTAGCAAAGCCCTGGCCTGATCACACACCAAAAGCATACAACAATTCGAAACTATTTAGGAAAACGACTGCGATCATCACACAACTATTGTGCACCAATACGAAAAAAGTTCAAAAACTCAATTGCTTCATTCATTAAACACACCAAAGACATTCCCATTGCAATTCAAAGAACTTGATCTCACTAACATGTCAATTTTAGAATTGGATATGTGCCATTTACAGAAATTAAGCTTGATATACTAATTTTCTAATCCGTTAAAACAAAACTAAGTTCATGTTAAAAACAAAGGCTTTGAGCTACATATCTAGTCTTATCAAAAGTTCAACTGATATTCTTATTGCAATGTACATCTTCTGTGTGCATGTTTGCGGGGTGTGCGGGGTATGAGAGAGAGAGAGACTCACCAACTTTTGGGCCAGTCTGTTCTTTGATTTCATCTAGATAAACCTGTTAAAAAAAAAAGATTCTTAGTTCTCAATACAGAAGAAGAACCTGAATCCTAAACCCTTAATGACAAGTAAGTTGCTATACTGGCAAATATAACCCAAACCATAACGAGCAGGAGAAAAAATGAAAAACCTTTTATCCTATTACGAAACTCAATCCTTAAGATGTCAGGTAAACTGTAACATGTACATGCAGCACATTCAACTTCCACGTAGAAACGAATGCGCACAACAAATTCCGGTATTCACATCATATAACCCTTTGACCTTAAAACCCCAAATAAGAAAATTTATAAAAACCAATAGCCGTGACTATCCATGAAAACGTAAATGTCACTCAGAAGTGTCATCTTGCAGTAGTAAACCTCAGCAATAAAAAGGTATTCTGATCACACACCGGGACATCTTATCCTATGTTCTTTTCGGTTTCAAAGCTATACCATGCAGGCATACACGTTGTCTTACTACTATCCGATGATGAATATCGCTAACACAACACCGTAAATGAAACCAGTTCATCAAACACAATCAACACTAGCTTGAAAATCCCCATTACTCCAAACATTCTAAGCTAATTAGACAAGAATCCAAATACATAAACAATTAATCAACAACCAAGACATATGTTAATGCACAAAATCAGTGAGGACTTTGGTACAACAGAAAGTGTTAAGTTTGTGACATTCGCTAGATTGCTCCAGTCACTAGTGTGGATAAGTATGTAAATGAATAGAGATATGGAAGCAAACACAAGATGTATGTGGTTCACCCAGATTGGCTACATCTACTAAGTAGAAGATTTCTCATTAATTGTGAAGGGTTTATACATACAAGTATATAGGTTCAAGCTCTATTTTGTGAGTACTAGTAAATGATTTAGTACAAATGATATTAGGAAATATTGTGGGAGAATAATCTCCTTTTATAGAAGAGAATTTCTAGTTTTGTTATGATATTGACATGTATTATGTTGTGATTGGCTTCTGATGATGACACGTGTTGCGCTATGATTGGCTTCTAACGTCGATACGTGTCGCGTTGTAATTGATCTCCTGGTTAGAGGAAACTCTTCTAGATCATGGTATAACGTTAGGTAGTTTCAGGATTGGTCATTCAAACAACTTGAATAAACCAAATTCAAATACTTAATTATACTATCTGTAGTTTACAATTACAACTAAATAAACCCAGAATTGAATATCAAAACAAAAACACCATCACAAACACACCCATTTCTTTAAACGCTCAAAACCATCAGGACCCAATTGGGCACGCCTCAAAATTCCTGAGCTAAAACCCACATTGCATCAGTGATAAGTCAACAATCTGATCAATACCCAGATGAAATGACCAGGAGAAATTACCAAATCCTGCGAGGAATAGTAGCCGAGATAGGAGATTCCGCCGGAGACGGCTGCGACTGCTCCGAAGGGAATGCGAAAGCTGGACTTCGATTGGCCTCGAAACGAGCTGTTGAAGGCGATCGGCGCCGCCTTGGCGAGCCTCTGGAAGAAGGTAGCCATTGGAAGAAGCAAAGCACAGATGCTGCTCGCTACTTGCTTTGCTGATTTCTTTCTACTCTTGGCGACGTTTCCAGTTTCCACTTTCGTGGGAAAAGTCGTTTCTGGCGCGGAAGTCAGTGATTGCTGGGCCCAATAGCCACACGGCCCAATTTTTGGATCGGATACTTTTCACTGGGTGGGCCGGGAATTCAAATATGGGCCTTGACTGATGAAGTGATGAAACATGGGTCGAAGCTTAAAGCCTGATGTGCTCTCCATTTCCAGTGGACCAGTGCCTCAATGTGAAAAAAAGAAACCTTTCCTTTTATGGAAAGTACTGATAATCCCACGTGGACGTGGTTTATGAGTCCAGTTAAGATACAAATACATAACCAATGCGAACACTTGAAAATATTACTTTATGAGTCCCGCCAAGATATGAACACGTAATAAATGCGAACACTTGAAAATATTTTCAGGTCAAATTTGTTGAAATTCAGCGTGGCCTTCCGCATACACAAAGCTTTGTGGGTCAGATTTGTTGAAATTCAAGAGTCAATTGAAGAAAATTGAAGAGAAATAAGTAGACTCGACAATGAATTTAGGTCGTCACACTTTAGAGATTAAGTGTGAAGTTGAGAGCATCAACATCCATGGATTTGGGGCTCAATCTTTCTTGAATTCGAATGGTAATGGAAGTAAATCCAGGAGGAGGAAGAACACATGATAACTTTATAAATATATCCTTCTATCTTTTGCTTGAATACACGCAACGTAAGCAATATTTCTGCCATGTCAGCACATTTTGTCACATTTTGACTTAATAGACAAAATCTCAACAAAATACAGTGAAAATCAAGTTTCAAGTTACAAAGTAACAATATTTTCATTACACGTGAAGTGGATTGGTCTATTTGTAATCGTGTAAACATACAAGGTGGTAGGTAAGATACTAAGATTCAAACATCTAATGATTTTATGATTGAATTAGGATATATAACAATATCTCATAGCACCAATTATATAGTTGGTGATAGTAAAACAAGAAATTATTATAATCAATTGCAAATTCAACAAGTGGGATTAAAGAACAATAAACAAAATGAAGAACACAAACACAAGGATGACGATGTATTTATCATTTCTACTTTTATGGTGAGATTTTCTTGTCATGAGCAGGACTAAAACAATATATATATATATATATATATATATATATATATATAAATTATAATTAATGTATAGGGTCGTCTTTTTCATGCAAAATTTAAGCCAATAAACAAATGAACGACAAGCATGCAACGTGAGTCTCTCAACTTGAAAAGCTTTAAATATGAGCCAAGTAAAACACAACATTCATTAAGATTGCATGAATCTCCTCATTTGCTAGGACAAGGAGGAGATCTACAAAATATTTTTAGTGTGATTGGAACTTGGTTATATCGTCATGTGTCATTACACAAGTAGAGAAATAATTGAAAAATCAATTATTTCTCTACTTGTACAATAAAGTATGACGTATCGCTATGTGTTGCGGACAAGAAAACCTCTTAATCAATTATTTCTCTACTTGTGTAATAAAGTATGACGTATCGCTCTGTGTTACGGACAAGAAAACCTCTTGTCATTTAGAACTGGTATAATATGCTAGCAGAAAAAAAAAAAAAGATATTTAGAGTTGTTTATTATTATTAATGGTAAATTATTCTACTAGGACAATGAGTCATGACTCCGAGCACCAAACATCCATCGATTGTCGAGAAAATTGGATGTCGGCTGGCTACTAGGTTCGAAGAAAATTTTCATTATTTTGGTAACACGTTTCGGTACATTAAATTCAATAATATAATTAATTAGATTTTTTTTTTTAAAAAAATTTGTGTTATTACATTTGATGTGTCCGGAATCTCTTCTAAATTCAAGGTGATGGTATAATCGAAGCAAATTTGAATTTGGCTGAAGCCGATTGGTCGGCTAACACAACCTTACCATCAACTTACTATTGAAGAAGGCAAAAACTCTGACATCGACATATTGACAAAACAAAATAGAATATATAATAATAGTCCTACTTTTAATCAATATTCTGAAAATTGGTTTAGGCGATGCCTAGGCGCTCCACGGTGGTCACCCGCCGCGATTAATCAATAGTCGGAAGAAAAAGCGACAAAGAGAATAGGCGAGCAACGAGGCGGGCGACTGGGTGGCCTAGGTGGTAGTTTGGGCGTTTCAGATATTTTTTGCGAAACAGCTGGTTCTCTTTCTAGGTTCTGGTTCTGCATTTCAAACTCCTTTCCATCGAAGAAGACAAGAGGAAGAAGAAAGAGAAATGAGTTTCTCTCTCTTCCCATTCACACCCACATGACGGACAAGACATAAGACCACCCAACATTTTTGTTTAGTTGTTTTTTAAAAGTGATTCCAATGGAATTAGGAAATGCAACTGACATAAACATATATTAAATATTCATGTGGTACGCCCCACCTCCCATTTCTGTTGCATGTTATCTCACTTAAAAAATGCTTTCAACAGACTACAAATTTACACTACATATTTTTACTTTTCTTTTAAGTTCACTATATATTTATAATCTTTGAAAATATTTAGTAAGTACTACAAGCTTATAATCCTTTAAACTTTCATCTCATATTATCAAATTCACCAAAATATTAATAATATAAAATAATTTACTCAAATCCACCTTGTTTGCCTAGGCCCCCGCTTAGGTGATAGACCCCAGCCCACTGCCCGACTAACGTCTAACGTCTTTTAGAACCTTACTTTTTACATTTTATCATTAGTTTTTTATCTTATCCATGGGTTTCATACAAGTATAATTTTTTATAAGTGTCAATCGGCACTTATTTACAAGATATACAAGAAGTTTATCTAAATCCACCTAGCCCGTCTAGACCCCCCGCCTAGTCGTCTAGGCGCTAAGCGCCAGCCCGCCACCCAACTAACGCCTAGCGTTTTTTAGAACCTCGCTTTTAATTGCATTGATGCATTTTGTTTGATGACTCTATATTCTTCTCTGTAGTAATTGTTTCCTAATATATTATGTAATTGATATGTTGTTCTTAGTATAGGTTTCCTACTTAAATATGTATTGTTATAAGCTTATATATATATATATATATATATATATATATATATATATATATATATATATATATATATATGGATATTTTACCAAAAGCGATAGAGTGATATTTCATTCAATATAATAAACAAATAAAACGGGTATCAATTAGGTACATAGCTCCAGTGATAAAAAAAAAAATTAATCTCTATATTATATAGAAGGAATTATATGTCTACACACTTTGTGATAAACATGCACAGTTGTTGTGTTCATATGTGGTATAATTATGTTGTATAGGTTACAGGTTCAAGTCGTGGAAATAACTTTTTTGCAAAACCAGGATAAGATTGTGTACGATAGACATTTCCCCAACCCCTCTTCAACTCTCGAAAAACAGAAAGCCTTGTTGGCTTAGAATCATCCTTTTAATTGATAGCTGATGAAATATGAACTTCACTAACGTTAAGATCAAACTAACCTAAAGATAACATAAGCTATTAATATTTATACTTATGTACGAATTATATACATATATCGGTCTCAACCTATATGATCATCATTTACCACGTATTGACTGATTGGTCATGGAAACAGTGAAACAAAATGTACAATATGTTTATGAATATTATACCTTGAATGAACTTGGAAAAAGACATCCCTATTTGGCTCTCTGGTTTTTTTTTTTTTTTTTGTTTAGTCAGAAGAATAAAAGTTCTTAAATAATTGAGTACGATCACCAAATCACCAATGCTTTCAATCCAATATTGCTCTACGTATCGATGCCTCTTGGTTTCAATCCAATTTTGTTGTACGTGTGTGCGATGTGTCGATCCCTTGTCGATGCATTGAACAATGCCTTTCGGTAAAATGAAGGATGGGAACTCCTACTTTGACTATCATCGTGATCTCTAAGCGAGATTTTTAGTTATCTATCCCCTTTAGCGTCAAAGCAAACCACTAGTCTCACACAATTATCACAAAATTTTCATCAAGTCTCATTAAGCATCCTTGACCTTACTGACGCGACTGCCTCTTGTCTCGGAATTATTTGGGTTCCTCATTTCCAAATAAATCATCATGCACTACTCATTGACAAAAAACAGAAGCTCGATCAAATCACATTTCAAAAATTAAAATGAGTTTTCGTGTCAATAACAATTTAATTCTTATTTGAAAAATACGTAAGAGGTTAACACTTTAAAAAATGGAGTAGGAATGAGACACTTCTACTTGTCACTATGTTAGTCACGATCAATCTTCAAATAAGAGAGGACTATGGAAAATGATCATCGTCGAATCCTTTTCTAGGGATCCCGTGATCGTTCATTGTACATCGTGCAATCAAAATTCATTTCAAAATTTAAAATTAAATATGAATAACACTTAACGAAAACTGACCGCACGATATACAATGAACGATCGCAATCACGGGATCCCTAGGATCTTTTTTCGAGGATGATACCAAATGGGTTTGATCGAATATTCTTGTACATGTGTGATGTATCGATCCCCCGTTGATGCATTGAACAATGCCTTATTGTTGTTTAAGGAAGTATAGTAGTTTCTCGACTTCAAAAAAGTTATTATTTACTTATTTGCAATACAACCGAAGTTAGAAAATGGTATTTTAAATTATGAAATAAATTTTGAAGTACTAATAACAGTTTTCGATTTATGCAAATAAAAATAGCAACGCCCTTTCGTTGTTGCAAAATATATTCAAGATTGACACTACAACAATCGTGCCTTTTTACTGGATTAGGCTACGTTTTCTTTTGATAAAAAGTTTAGGAGAAGGGGGTGCTATCCCATCTCAAGATCAAAGTATACCACAAGCTTCTTTGAAGATTTATAGAGGAGTCTTAGCTCATTCTTTGGTTTTTACATATCGCCTATTCAGAGAAATTATCAGTAACAAGACTCAAATCTAAGTCTTGATCTAGCAAAAAAAAGGATATTTACTAGTTCAATCAACTCTCGTTGGCTAGGCACTTTTCAAAGATTATCTCAAGTTTTTGATTTGAGAATAATCATCGTCAACTTCTCTTCAAGAAAAATAAAAGTTCGAAGTTGCACTTTTAGACCTGCAAAATGACTTCTCGAAGTACCAATAACAATAGAAAGGTTTTCGGATTTAACACTTACAGTTACTGTATTCCAGGTGTGTTCTAGGATTAATCAAAAGTTATATTCACCAAGTCAGTTGGTCACTCACAATTATGGGATGTATTCACGCCAAACACAAACAGCCACTCGTTACTTTTCACAAGCAACAGCCACTCATTACTTTTCACAAGCAACTGAGTTGAGATACTTTTTAGATCTAACTTCTCAGAGCCTACGGTCATCTCTAATCAAAGGAGAGTCAGGTAGCTCGTTTTAACCTTATAATCTTTCGAGAAATTAATATTTTAGTGAACATTGCCATATCATATTTCTTACTATCTCTAACCGAGGGACCAAAGGGTCATAGACCAAACATAACCATGTGACAAAAAATCATCGCCAACCAAATGGAACAAAGGATCATAGGCCAAACATAATTTATTATTTTAATTGAATTAATATGATTACTTAAATTAAACTACCTCAATAATGTTTCGAGATGTAATCTTAATAATTTTTCGGATAGAATTTCAAATAACACGTGCAGTCAGTTTTTATCAAATATTGTTTATGTTTAATTTTAAATAAGTATATTTAAAATGATTTCTAATTACACAATGTAGAATGAATAAACACGATTAATAGATCTCTAGAATTCTTACAAAGAGTATTTGACGAAAATCCGGATTCCTCATTCCAGAGGAAAACAATTTAATAGACAGAAGAAATTCAATTCTGGCACCAATAATGTAGTCTCTGAAGTCTGAACAGTGTCACAAGTAAAACCAGTATATTATTATTTAAGAAAAAAAATTATTATATTTTAAAATAACAATTGGATGTGACTGTGAGTGTGACTGATGAGAGAGATTCTCTCTTTCTTCTTCAGACGGACATCCGAAATATCAGAAACCCAAATTGGAAAATCTGTGTTCTTCTCCTTCCTTCCTTCCAAAAAAGGGAAAAATCCGTGTTCTTTGCAAAGTTTTCACTGTTGAGCCCCTGCGCTCTTTGCAAAAAGCTTCAACTTCTCAGTTTTTGGGGGTTTTCTGTTTGGCTTCTTAGAAAATCCAGCCTCAAGTTTTGTGCTTTACTGTTCTCAGGTCAGACAAAATCTTCCATTTTCACAGCAACCAAACAGGAAATACCATTTCTTTTTTGCTAATGATTGGTGGGAATGCAACTGTTAATCCAATTGTAACTGAATCTTTCATTTTCACGGCAACCAAACAGGAAATACCATTTCTTTTTTACACTGTACGGAATGTGTTTGGGAGATGGAGGAAGTCGGCCCTAGCTGGCTGACTCCTTTGGCCAGCCTGTTGGCCTGATTCCTATTTTTTTGACCTGGTGGGGTCTACAAACTTTTTGATCTAATCCTTGAAGATGATTTTCATGTTATTTCGGATTATTTTCGACCATCTAACCTTCTGATCGGATCGGTTGAAGATGACCTAAGAACTAGAAAATTTAAACCCTTTAATAGAGATCGGGGTGTTTATTTTATGTGAAGTGGGATAATGAAATGATTTAGTGAAGATTGTCGTATTTAATTTGAGTGATCGAGATTTCTTGGTCTTTAGGCTCCGAATAATTAGATCTGGAAACGTTCTCAGTTTGTCAATAATTTTTAGGACAAGGATTGTTTGCCCTCTCACTTCCCGTGCTCTCCCGTGCCCTCCTGTTTGTGTGGTCACGATTAAGCCACGTCAACATTTTATATTACTATTCATTTTTTGTCTTATCATCTTTATAAAAAAACAATATAAAATATTGACGTGACTTAACCATGACTATACAAAATTGGAGAGTACGGGAGGACACTGGAAGTAGTAGGGTAGACAATCGTTGTCCAATTTTTTATCCTAAAATACTGACAGACTGCAATACCTATCAGATTTGTCAGGGCAGGATAAAGGCAATTAAAGTCGCAGATATTCACAGATATTTTAGAAATAAAAGTCATTTATTTTGTTTTTAATTACATTTATTAATTTTATATTTCAACGGCTGACAATGCTGCCATGGCAAAACCTGATAGGACAGGAATTGTGTAGATTCCATTTACCTTTTGGGAGCATTTTTGATCATGTTTACCATCATATTTATCACTGTTATATGAGTTTGAATTTCGAGATTCTTGTAGTGAATAAGCAAATTTCAAAATTCAAACTCATTTAGAGATAATAAATAAGATGGTGAACATACATCACATAAATGCTGAGCAAAAATGCACTCTTTATCTTTTTTATGATTGGACATTGAATGTGCTTACTTTGTTTGCTTATATAAAACGCAGCAAAATGTTGCAAGATCGTGTCTTTTTCTGCATTCTACTTGCATCACCAAACTTCTGAGCCAAAGGCTGGTTTGGAGTAGCTTTTGGGATCTGGATCTGGGGTCTGGATTCCAAGAGGGATTCATCTTTAACACGAAGACTTCGCATGTGGTCATCCATCCTCTGATGCTAGTCCTGCTCTCGCCTAATTTCGCTTTTAACTTCGTAGTTCCGATGGAATCATGTGTAAGTTGGTATGATCACAACCTCATCCTGAAAGTTTGAACTTTGAGTGGTGAAGTACAGAGAGTAATCAGATTTTTTTGTTTTCAAAGGCGGATTCGGTACAAGAAACCGGTATCTGGTGGTCATATAGGGTTCTAAGTAGCCAAAATCTTAGGGTTCCAAGTAGTTGATCATATCGCAACGGGGATGGTTGATGCAGGCATGACAATGTCCTTCCACACACAAAACCGTCCACCTCTTCTTTTCGGACTTTTGACCAAAAATAGGACACAATACAGAACCAAATCAAGCTCTTTTGTAGCCGCAGTGCAAGTATCTTCAGTTCTGCAAACCAATGAGAGCGGAAATCTACCTGAATCGAAGAAAGTTCGGAATTCTGGCTTACCTCTAACAAGATGCCACGTACTGAGCCAACCAAACACCGTCGGCATCATTGGAGGGGTGTCTGTTTATTCAAGCCTCCTTTTCTTGGAGAAGCTTGTGTGGTGGAGTCTAAAAGATGGAGGAGAATGCCCGCCTTTCATCGTGTGCAGCGATCCAACGTTGTATAAGGAGCTTCCGATTCGCAGTTTGTTGCATTCACTCAAACGAAGTACTAGTAGTGCTCAAATCCTATCAAATAACTGGCCTGTCATCGAGAGCTTGTGTCGCAAGAGGGCGTTCCTCGAGCACTCTGGCGCTCGATGCATAGTCATGCCGTGTCACCTGTCTCATGCGTGGCACGACCAGATATCTGAGGACTGTTCTCTGCGCTTCCTTCATATCGGTGAGTGTGTTGCCCGGGAGCTCAGGGAAGCAAAGTTGAAGCCACTGGAAAAAGGAAGTAATGTAAGGATTGGAGTGCTTGCTGCAGATGCAACTTTAACGGCTGGTTTTTACCAAGAAAAGCTACAAAGTCAGGTACACATTCATCCTAATTTTGTTTTTCTTGCTAATTTATCAAATTATGTGAAAACCATGAAGATAACAATTCCGATTTTCTTCGAAAACATTACTTGTATTTTAAGTCACCCGCGAAAAACATATTTCGGTGCAATGGCAATGGACAGGGGTTTGATGTTGTGGTACCTGACAAGCAAACCATGGAGCATTTGGTGATTCCCACAATTGAAGCGATAAAAAGACGGGACATGGAGGGGGCACGAAACCTGTTAAGCATTGCAGTCCAGGTCCTGCTGGTGAGGGCGGTGAACACCGTGATCATTGCTTCGGACGAGTTGCAGGGCGTTCTGCCTCCGGACGATCCTCTTCTTAAGAAATGTATCGACCCCATGGACGCTTTGGCTAGGTCGACAATAAAATGGGCAAAGGCTACAGGCAAAAGTGGATAAGAGGTCGTAGCAACATGGCTAAATAAAATGTACAAAATCTTCGTGTCATTGCCATATTTCTCTTCATTTCTGAAGATATTTGCAAATCTTTAAATCAACTCAATTGAAACTTCTTGTAAAATCAACTTCTGGTTTGAAACATATACACAGATTTATGAGTTACAAGTAGATAACCAAAATGTCATCAGACAAGTTAAACAATACACTTTTACAACGATCGAATTATGTGAATCTCGAAGGGAATAACATCCAAATCAACATATATCCAAGCTTCTTTTATTATCGAAAGATAAGTAGTCCAGGAATTTGGACTACGGATGAAATGAATTGAACCACGCTACAAATTCGAAGTGGAACCGCTGGTTTGTTTTAGACGTGCTGTGACACCATCTGTTGCATCCTGATAGACCCAAGAAGAGATGAGGTGATGGGCAATTGCGAATGGCCCGGGTATAAACATGGGTGCGAGTTCACCACTTTCAACATTGAAGTCGGCAGAGAAGTTCTGCCCTTTCTCAACTCCTTTGCACATCTGTTCCACCTTTGACGCCGCTGTTGTCTGCGCCTTCTTGTATTCAGCAAATGCCAAAGCTCTCTTTACATCTTCTCTACTGTGCCACTGAGCATCTGGTTGGACAAAATTTCAAAGAAGAAAATCAGCACTCCATTTGATCGGATGCGTACAATGCAGCTTGTATTCAGAAAATATAATTTTTGTACTGAGTTCTATTACTTTTCATACAAAAAATAAATTCCAAAACAGAGCACAAAGTGGCCTCAGGAAGTCAAATTCATTACGAAGAAACGGCAAACGCAGTTTAGTTAAAACTGCAACGACAAGCTAATTTCCTGTGTACCTTCCAACTCTTCCTTGTCCACATTTATTTCCAGTGATTTTGCGTATGCAAAGAACCCAACCATCAACTGACATGGCATGCTATTTGGTCCAACTGGAAACAAAACCAAAATTGGAACTCAATCAATCTATTGGAAACAAAGAAAGAAACCCATACGGTGTGTGCAATTATCTGTAGTGAAACAGAACACAAACTTCGCAACATTCATACCAGGCCATGGCTGAGAGCTATGATAGACAACTTCTCCTACTTCAATACCAGTCTCTTCCCATGTTTCTCTCCTCACTGCTTCTTCTAAGCTTTCCCCTGGCTAAGGATGAGAAAAGAATCAAACTAATGAAACTGTTACACAACCCCCGAAAAGGAGTATAAATACTAATACCGACTACTATACACAATTAGCAGTGTCTGACATATTCCATAGAGTTACCTCTATAAAACCAGCTAAGCAACTCCACATTCGAGGTACAAATCGAGATTGTCTACTTAATAGAGCACGGTTGTTCTCTCTATCAATGACTAACATTATGACAACCTGTTGAAATGACACAATATGAGCTATACGACAGAAAAGCACCAACTTGAAATGCAAACTGATGAAGCATAATCATACCGGATCAACACGAGGGTAGACCCGCTTTCTGCACAGCTCACTCGAACATTGCTTCCGCCTCCCAGCTTCCTTGGGGACTGTTTTTTCTCCACAATGTCCACAAAATTGTGATATACTATGCCATTCTAGCAAAGCCCTGGCCTGATCACACACCAAAAGCATACAACAATTCGAAACTATTTAGGAAAACGACTGAGATCATCACCAACTATTGCGCGCCAATACGAAAAAAGTTCAAAAACTCAATTGCTTCATTCATTAAACACACCAAAGACATTCACATTGCAATTCAAAGAACTTGATCTCACTAACATGTCAATTTTAGAATATTACACATAGCAAAGTACTAAGTGCTTTGGGCAGAAGCACTTACATGTCCAGCAATAGCCAATTCCCTCATAGCCCTGGCATCACCCCAATCAGTAGCCACCATAAGCGTCCTCAGCTCAACAAAACACAATCGTTTGCTACCCAATTCAGCAACCAAGCTACTCTCACTATCAGCGGAAACATCAATGGCCCAATAAACGAGGTCGTCTTCGGGCCGGGAACCCAGATACACCAGCGATTCTCCACTCAGCTGGACCCCACAATTAGTCAGGAAACCTTTACACTCAAACAAACTGATCCAACCCAGATGCCAATTTGGCGCGGAATCGCCGGCACCACCGCCGGAGGAAGCTAAAGGCCTGCCCTTTCTGAAAGGCAGAACCTTGAAGCTGAGGGAAGAGGGCAATTGGGCACCTTCCAAAAGTTGGGTCTTGAGGGTCTCGAGCGCTTGGGATGGTGAAAAAGGGTCGCTGGGACTTGGGGTCTTGGTTAGCAGGGGATTGCCGGCGAAGGCGTGGGACTGGAGGTTTATGGACATCGTGTCGGCGGCGGCGGTGGAGGCGGAACAAAGAGCTCTTCTGGACAGGATGTGGAGAGTGGATTTTCTACAGAAAGAAAGGAAGTGAGTGGAAGAAGAGAGGAGAGAGAACTTGACCATGCTTCCATTGGGTGGTGGCGGTTTTCGAGGAGAGAGAGGGAAAGCGAACGGAGGTAGGTGGTGACTACGAGGCTGGAGTGACGACAACTGTCACTGATTGAGACGCACAGCTGCCGAGCTGCCGGTGCCCGGTGCGGTCAGATAAGGCCACACACACAATGAGAATTTACAGAAAGCCCAAGTGGTTAACGGGAGCCTTCAATGTTTGGACTGGACTCTGCTTCGGGCCTCTCAGAAACAGAGTTCTTCTTGATATTTCATGACCGATTTACGGAATTTTGAAACTATGACCGAAACGTTCATACTATAAATCTCTATAAAATCACTTTTACAAAAAATTATAAAATATGAGATCGTTTAGTCATTCAACTTTGTAAAAACAGATGCACGAATTCGATAAAAGAATTACGAACTGTCTTATTTATTTGCTACAATTGATTGAATATATGGTATTGTTTTCAATTGATTTTTTTTTTTTGTTGCAAAGAATATTAATTTTTCTTTACATAGTGTTTGGACCCAAATTTGCATCATCGGCCTGAGTAATCGAGATCATTGAGTAAGCATACTTCTCAACCGTCGTATGGAAAGGTAAAAGATCATTTTGTTATTATTAAAGGATAATGTTATGATTTTTATCATAATTATCTTTTAAATAATTTATTATGGGAGATCTCCAAACTGGGAACACGGTGGCATAATTCGAGTTGATCTGGATGAATAGTATGCTGCAAATTGATTATTATAGATGTGGATAAATATTTTGGTATAGGCGCCAGAAATTAGCATCCCAAGGTGGTGGTTTAAATGGGGTTTGAAAAGTCATGGTGAACGGAGTAGATAAACAGTATGCAAATGGGATAATTATAAAACCTTTTTGATGTTGTGGTTTTGGTTACGTAGTGTGCTTTCTAGGATTATCATTATCCGTGCATGGATCAATGTGATTGAAGTTAAGCTCTAGTGGACTAGGAGTCTCTGAAGGCACGGTTTTTTATGGAAGAAAGACTTGGGTTTTGAATAAATGAAGCAGTCAGAAGATGATGGTATCTAAAGGATAGGCTTTCATTTAGTGAGTTTGAGTTGAAATCAAATACTAGCGTGAAGCTGCACCACTCAACATTTGTTCCTATAAATACCAAGCTACAAACAACGGAACAGGCCCCTCAAATTCAACACACAAAATTGCCCTGCGCAAATTCTCACAACTTGTGATTTTTCTTTTTCCTTTTTCGCTGACACATCTTCCGTTGGCATCAACAGCACTGTGGAAGCAACCGGTGATATCTTAAGTCGGCATAGATAGCTCTGTCACCGTAGAGTCAGTCGGTCTCGCAGTATCTTCCGTTGGCATCAACAGCACTGCGGCGAGAACGATTGATTACCTATCCAAGTCTCGGTCGAGAAGGGTTTCTAAATCCTTATTGGTCGAGGTCATCTCATCAGCCTTCTCGGCGAAGTGAGGTGTTACAGTTATTACATTCGGCACATTGAAAGCCGAATTTGATATTGAACTTCGTAAGAATAGTAACCTTGTCTTCAGGTTCGAGAGCCCAAGAGGCCGAGACGTGTTCCTTTCTCGGCCGTAATCGCAAGACGCAGAAGTCAGTAGCGCGACCCAACGCAACATCAACAAATTTACTCCTCGGCCGAGCTCGACCGACGAGTTGGCACGCCCCGCATTCACCGAAGGACGTAGTTAGCTCATTAATTACTCGGTCTGCGAGCCACGTAGGCTTTGTAGTTTCTAGGGTCAACATTTTGGCACGCCCAGTGGGACCCAGTGCTATACTACGAAGTTCATATGATATATCAAGATTCCAATCTGGCTCAACGTAGCCGATTGTACGAGCTCCTGGAGGAATTGAAAAAACATAATGAGGAATGTAAAAAATCTTTGGAAGCAGAAAAAGTTCTTCGTGGCCATAGAGAGATGCAAAAGTCATTCGCTTGCATGTTGAAAATAAAAGCTCCTGTTATCCTACAAGGGCAATGGGTAAATGCAGACAAGGCTCGATTTAATGCCTGGCTAGATGAAGAAAATTTTCCTTACGTTTCTGACTACAGATCAATTCCATTTGAAAAATGGTTAGGCCCAAAGGCCGGGGGGCAATTTTTCGCTTCGGCCGTAATCAGACATCGGCCTAAGAAAATTGTTAATTTGGCCGAAGAACAAAAGCCACCTATTGTTTCGGTCGAGATTGAAAGTGTAGTAGGCCTAGAAGAAAAAATTCAAGTTCTTGAGCTAGATATAAAAATTGACTTGGAAAATGATTCGTTAGAGGAATGCTCCAATGATGAACGAGGCCAAGATATTGGCCTAGCCCAAGAAACTACGCCAATTGATATGATTATTGGCAATAAAGCCGATATGGAGAAATCCTGTTCGGCTAAGTTGTTTGAATTAAAAGCCGAAATTATGCCTGGGGGGCATAATAATTGTTCAACACATTCGGCGGCCGAGAATGAAAAATATTTCACCAAGTCAAAAATATTTTGGAAAATTCTTTATTCGGCCTAGAGCGAAATCAATTTGAAAATTTTGATGCAAAAAGATCGCGGTTTGGAATAAAGCATCGTTGGCCTCCTCCTGAATATGGTTCGGCCACTTTTATTTCCATTTAGAAAAAAAAAATATTTTCTTAATCATCTGGCTACGTAAGCCGATGCATAAGAAAATTTGAGGGGCAACAAGTGGTGTGCTCGGCAAAAGTTTGGTAGTTTTGAATTTTGGTCGTTTTGTTTTTAGCCGAGCTCGGCAAACAAGCCGACCTGAGAAGAATTGTTTTCGCTGCTATCGATCATACCATGCCTATGGTCAAAATGTGGGAACAAGTTTCAAAAACATTTAATCAGGAAGATGCTAGGGTCAAAGTTTGGCCGAATAAATCTTGGTTGCTGGTTTGAGGTTATATATATATATATATATATATATATATATATATATATATATATATATAGTCATGATTGCTGACAGTGGGTTTGATATGTATATATATGTATGTATGTGTGTATATATATATGGTCATGATTGCTGACAGTGGGTTTAATATGTATATATATGTAGCCAGGCCGAGCTGCCAAGAAAGACTCTTCTCGACGTCGGCCAAATTTATCCTCGACCCCAATCCCAATTCTTTTCGACCCTGGTTCATGAATATTTATTACTTATCTTCGGCCATGAGTTGTTCTTTGGTCGAAGGGAGCCGTGAGTGAACAGCAGCAGGGGATGACGGTCAAAAGTACTTCTGATTAGGCTGGAGTTACTTAATTTCCTTAATCATTCGGCTTACGAGCCGAAGTTTAAGGAAACTGGGGGGCAATGTTTGGACCCAAATTTGCATCATCGGCCTGAGTAATCGAGATCATTGAGTAAGCATACTTCTCAACCGTCGTATGGAAAGCCAGGCCGAGCTGCCAAGAAAGACTCTTCTCAACGTCGGCCAAATTTATCCTCGACCCCAATCCCAATTCTTTTCGACCCTGGTTCATGAATATTTATTACTTATCTTCGGCCATGAGTTGTTCTTTGGTCGAAGGGAGCCGTGAGTGAACAGCAGCAAGGGATGACGGTCAAAAGTACTTCTGATTAGGCTGGAGTTACTTAATTTCCTTAATCATTCGGCTTACGAGCCGAAGTTTAAGGAAACTGGGGGGCAATGTTTGGACCCAAATTTGCATCATCGGCCTGAGTAATCGAGATCATTGAGTAAGCATACTTCTCAACCGTCGTATGGAAAGGTAAAAGATCATTTTGTTATTATTAAAGGATAATGTTATGATTTTTATCATAATTATCTTTTAAATAATTTATTATGGGAGATCTCCAAACTGGGAACACGGTGGCATAATTCGAGTTGATCTGGATGAATAGTATGCTGCAAATTGATTATTATATAGATGTGGATAAATATTTTGGTATAGGCGCCAGAAATTAGCATCCCAAGGTGGTGGTTTAAATGGGGTTTGAAAAGTCATGGTGAATGGAGTAGATAAACAGTATGCAAATGGGATAATTATAAAACCTTTTTGATGTTGTGGTTTTGGTTACGTAGTGTGCTTTCTAGGATTATCATTATCCGTGCATGGATCAATGTGATTGAAGTTAAGCTCTAGTGGACTAGGAGTCTCTGAAGGCACGGTTTTTTATGGAAGAAAGACTTGGGTTTTGAATAAATGAAGCAGTCAGAAGATGATGGTATCTAAAGGATAGGCTTTCATTTAGTGAGTTTGAGTTGAAATCAAATACTAGCGTGAAGCTGCACCACTAAACATTTGTTCCTATAAATACCAAGCTACAAACAACGGAACAGGCCCCTCAAATTCAACACACAAAATTGCCCTGCGCAAATTCTCACAACTTGTGATTTTTCTTTTTCCTTTTTCGCTGACACATCTTCCGTTGGCATCAACAGCACTGTGGAAGCAACCGGTGATATCTTAAGTCGGCATAGATAGCTCTGTCACCGTAGAGTCAGGTCGGTCTCGCAGTATCTTCCGTTGGCATCAACAGCACTGCGGCGAGAACGGTTGATTACCTATCCAAGTCTCGGTCGATGAAGGGTTTTCTAAATCCTTGTTGGTCGAGGTCATCTCATTAGCCTTCTCGGCGAGGTGAGGTGTCACAGTTTATTACATTCGGCACATTGCAAAGCCGAATTCGATATTGAACTTTGTAAGAATAGCAGCCTTGTCTTCAGGTTCGAGAACCCAAGAGGCCGAGACGTGTTCCTTTCTCGGCCACAATCGCAAGACGCAGAAGTCAGTAGCGCGACCCAACGCAACATCAACAAATTTACTCCTCGGCCGAGCTCGGCCGACGAGTTGGCACGCCCCGCATTCACCGAAGGACGTAGTTAGCTCATTAATTACTCGGCCTGCGAGCCACGTAGGCTTTGTAGTTTCTAGGGTCAACACATAGTAATTTAAAATATCAATGGTTCTAATCATAAGCATAAAGTTCCGTGAATTAGTCATAAGATATCTTGAGAAGAAACTCCTCCACAATCTTATGGAGGTAAGTTAATTCCTTTGTAGATACGAGTTAAGTAAGTGCGAGAGGTAGTCGAGTTTGAGTCGTCTTTATATTTTTTTGCTACAAACAAAGTGGGGGAGTTAAGTAGCAATCACATCTACAATCAAG